ACGTCAGCGGCACGGGGACCCTGTCCCACAGCTACCGCTATGAGGTGTGTCTCACTGGAGGCCCTGGGACAAATGAGTTCAAATTCCTCAAGCCAATTATCCCCAACTGCTCTCCTCAAGGACCTGAGAGGGAAATAGAGGAAAGTCCCACCCTTCCTAATAGCTTCCTACTTAGTTAAGTATTGAATTACTGTACTAAACACTGCTTACTACGTTCAGAAATATTCTTTCAACATATGTGATATTGATGCATGTTGTTTGTGATCTGTTTCTTATTTCTATTCTTTTAAAAGTTGCATACTGGAGATAAACAGTATTTTCTCTGTGCTTCAATATTTTCTATTACTTAGTTGCCTGTATTTGACAACTTAAAGAAAAAGTAAATATTTGGGTAATTCAGAATTTTGAAATTAAAAAATTACAAAATTTTAAATAGGATTGTATTTCCAACAATTGGTTACAGTCACTTCACTCTTACTATATTGGAATATATTTAAAATATAAGTAGTTGATATTATTTTTGTTTGTTTGTTTTGTTTTTTTGGTACCGGGTGGGGATCGAACTCAGGTCCTTGTGCTTGCGCAGCAGGTGGCGAAACCACTGAGCCAAATCCCCAGCCCTAGTAGTCAATATTATTTAATCGACAAAGGTACATCTCATTTTGTTATGACTTTTATGGTGCATAACACCAAAGATAAAACACTGAGCATGACTAAATGCTAAAATAGCCATTCATACTTATGTGTATTTCAGTATACCATAATGGATAACACATCTTTTCTGTGATTATAGACTTTACTAAACTGTCAACACATTAAGTTTCAGATTGCGATTTTCAGTCAGATAGAATATAATGGTCTTTTTAAAACACAGAGCCAATTGTAAATGCTTAATATTAGCTGGATGCTACTAACATTGTAGTAATGACTTTTTAAAACAATACACTTACTAGGAACAAAGAAATGCTAATACTTTCCCTACAATAAGTACCCTTCCCAATGAATAAAGTTATTAATGTTTCTGTTTCGTTAAATTTTTTTGCTCTCCTTCAAAACAAAACATCTTTCCATTCACTCATTCTATTATAGACCATAAAACACTTGAGGGCACATTTTGCCTTCTTGTCTTTTCTAATGATTTGAAATTTCAAAGATACTGTTTTCTTAAATCCAAATTATGTTTTTCAAACTTTTCCTCTCACATTCTAAAACTTTTATGTCTGTTACTTGCCAAGACCTAAGTAAGGTATTAGTATCAGCTTAGGTAAGTCACATTTTCCCTTTCTACTGCTGGGTAAGCATCACTTGCCTTAATAACTACAAAGCCATTTATTTTCACAGTTTATCCCAGATTTAGTCTTATTTGTTTAGATTATACTTGTGGTATTTTACCAAATTCTCTTTTCAAGTTTCTATCCAAGGCATTGTATATGAAAGTGCCAATAGATGAATATTTTATTTTATCATTAAATGCACTAGATTTTAGTGTGTTTGGCATTCAAAAAAGTCTAATTTTCATGGCTGCTTACCAATTGCTTTAAGGAATGTTGAGAACATTTACTGTTTGTTATTCCCAGATACTTCCCTCTGTATTGTTTGGGATGGTTTGTCTATTGATTTTCTCATTCAAACCACATGGCTTTAGTTGGAGCTTTGGTGGTTTTCAGTTACCCCATCTCCATAGTCCAGAGGACTAACAAAATGATGGACCCTGACCAATGCACATAGGTCAAAATCCTTCCCCAGTAAGTACATATTTTGTTACTTTATTTTCTTTACGGTCATCTTTGTGTTCATAGAAAAGGCATTCCCTGAATTCTGAGCTTATACTGATTTTTAATAAAATAAATGGCTGTTTCCTCTTAACTTCATTGGGCACGGAACACAGTGAATTTATGAAAGAAAAAGTTTCCAAAGACTATATAACCTAGAAAGTGACAAGAAATCACATTTTCTCTTCTTATGAGTTATGGTTACAATGCAATTTGGGAAGAGAAGTCAAATTTAATTCATAATTTAAGTGAACTGATATATAGATGTATGATTTCCCCAACAGGAAGATTTCTTTTGCTTCATTTACTGTATTATCTCAGAAGCTAGAAGAATGCTTGCATAGATCAGTATTTGTTAAATGAGTAAATTAATCTGCCAGGGGCAAAGTGGCATGAACCTGTAATCCCAGCTCCCTGGGGGGCTGAGGCAAGAATATCACAATTTCAAGTCTCGTCTGGGGAACTTACCAACTTAGAAAGACCCTGTCTCAATTTTTAAAAAAAATTGTAAAGGAAGGGGAAAAAATTAAAAAGGAAAAGGAACTAGGAATGTAGCTCAATGTGAAGACTCTAGTACAGTACCACAAAAATAAAATGAATTTTTTAATCAGAATTTTGTTTGTTGAACATATATCTTTATAAGGACAGTAAATATAAACTTAGATGTTACTTTTCTTCCCATAACTAATCTTAGCTATCTGAATAAGAATGAAAAATGTCTGTCAAAGACAGACAACGCATTTTAGTACTTCAATGTACTTTGTAGCGAAAATTATCTGAAGTTGTAAATCAGAACGCTTGGTGGCGCTGCAGGCTAAGAGAGTGAAAAACTGCAACATTAGTGACTCCTTAAAAGCCGAACATTTTCCAGCAATTTAAAACGGAAACATTACCGGGGACAGAACATTTCAGAAAAGCAGCTATCCCCGTGTAAAAAAGAACTAACTCAAGACTATTAAACCAAGATAGCTGAGTTGGCTATAAAGCAATTGTGGTGTTAAATACTGCATCTTTTGGACCAGGAGGAACAATGGAGATGCTGCTCCCCAAAGCGCCACAGAAAAGGCAAGTGACCGCCATTATTTTCCTATTACTATTGTGGGAGGTGGGGAGTACGACCATTAAATATTCTGTTCTAGAAGAGAAAGACAGCGGCTCTTTTGTAGCCAACCTAGAGAAAGATCTGGGGCTGGATCTAGGGGAGCTAGCTGTGCGGGGCGCCCAGGTTCTTTCCAAAGGAAACAAACAGTTCTTGCAGCTCGAACAGAAGAGTGGGAATTTGCTTCTAAAAGAAAAGCTGGACCGGGAGAAGTTGTGCGGGGACACAGACCCATGCCTACTGCCTTTCCAGGTGTTACTGAAAAACCCAGTGCAGTTTATTCAAGGTGAATTACAGCTTCAAGATATAAATGATTATGCCCCGGAATTCTTGGAAAATGAAATCCTCCTTAAAATCTCAGAAAGCAGCCGCCCAGGGACTCGCTTTCCTTTGAAAATGGCTCAAGATTTGGACGTAGGTAACAACACAGTTCAGAGCTATATAATTAGCACCAACTCCCATTTCCACCTTGTTACCCAGGATCATAACGATGGCAGGAAATTCCCGGAGCTGGTGCTAGACAGAGCGCTGGACCGTGAGGAGCAGCCTGAGATCCGGTTAACCCTCACTGCGCTAGATGGTGGTTCACCGCCCAGCACTGGGACCTCCCAAGTTCTCATCCTGGTCCTGGACATCAATGACAACGACCCTGAATTTGGTCAGGGGCTCTACAAGGTGCAGGTCCCAGAAAACAGCCCAGTAGGTTCCCATGTCATCACCGTCTCTGCTAGTGATTTAGATACTGGGACCCACGGTGAGCTCTCCTACTCATTTTTCCAACCCTCAAGTCAAGTCATGCAAACCTTTGAAATACACACAACCACAGGAGAGATTAGGTTAAAAAAACTGTTGGATTTTGAGGAAATAGAATATTACCATATGGAAGTTGAGGCATCAGATGGCGGAGGTCTTTCTGGAAAATGCACAGTAGCCCTAGAAGTGGTGGATGTAAACGACAACGCCCCGGAACTGACCCTGTCTTTACTCATCAGCGATATTCCAGAAAACTCCCCAGAAACTGTAGTCGCTATTTTTGGAATTTCAGATCCAGACTCTGGAGACAATGGAAAAATGATATGTTCTATCCAAGATCATCTTCCTTTCTTCCTGAAACCTACTGTGGAAAATTTCTATACCTTGGTCACAGAGGGTGCACTGGACAGAGAGAGCAGAGCAGAGTACAGCATCACCATCACGGTCACCGACTTGGGGACACCCAGGCTCAAAACCCAGCACAACATAACCGTGCAGGTCTC